GGTATGACTTCACGCAATCTTTATTCCAGGATCGCTGAGCATAAGGGCAGGAGTTGTAGGACCGGACAGTTGCTATCGCGCCCCCCTCATTCGGCTGTGCGCACTCACGCCGAGCAGTGTGATGTGCCTGTTTCTGACAGTGACTTTAGGGTGTTAGCTTCTACCTCCGGTACTTCAGATTTGCCTATCTTAGAATCATTGTACATTTTTAAGCTTAGGCCCAGTTTAAATTCAGCTGTGAGCTCCTATCCCCTTGAAATTGTGAATAGATAGGTTTTTATGCCCTATTACATGTAAATTTAGGTTCTAATTATTGTGTTCTGTGCTTTCAATTGTATTAACTTGTGACTTTCTATGTATGTTCTACATTCTACGAACTGACGATGGAGCTGGACTCCGAAACGTTTTCTACAAAGATATGAATTTTTGTGGACTATTCTTGGCTTTTAAATTTATAATAAATCTTCTTATCTGGTGACCATTCACCATGAAAACGAATTCGATTGAGAATAAATAATGTCTAATAAAATTAATCTAATTACATTAATGGTTTATTTACACAATATTTATCACTTTAGCTATCGTATGTCATGCATTTGTCTAACCAGAACAACAGGAAACAAAGGTTTGGTTGGATAAATATGGTTCCAAAATTTTAAATTCGTTCAAATCGACAAAATAAAATATTTTGACTCAAATCTACTAACAACTTTACCTGACTTGCGTAGCGTGGATTCATCGGCACTCGCGCGGCGACGAGGCAGAGCAAAAGACCAAATATAATGGACTTCATGACGGCGGCTCCGACGCTCGCCTGGCTTTGCTTCTTCTTGATACCGAAATTCCTGCGAAGAAGAAAGTGTGAGATGCATTCTCTTGTGGTTTGGCATTATTTAAATTTCGATTGTTCGCTAACATTAAACAAACATCCTATAAATAAAGAATGATTTTTAATATGGCTGGACATGAAGTCGCATGTATATGGCTAATAAACATTTCTTGATGCAAAGAAGCTCTCTCTTCACATTCACATTGAGAATGGGCAATAATCACATTTATATTCCTGTTAATGTGTGTTTTTAGTGTCGTGGTTTTACATCGTCTTCGCCGCACTTTGCAATATTGCTTCATTACATGCACAATCACAGTAATTGCAAGTGATAATATATGCCCATTATATGCATCGTTAGGAGAAAATGTTCATAAAAAATTTTTGGAAAAATCTGCTGACTGATTTATAACATGCGCACAACATTACAACGTGTTTTGGAAATTCCTTGATCATCAATATCAGGTCGTCAAGTAACAGCCTCCTTGCGCAAAATTCTCACTTGTATAATATAATTAAATTAAATTGATTCATCTTGCTATGCTCACCTGCAAAGGTTACCTCTCTGAGCGCCTGACCGAAATGACACTCCAGGCCATGGCTGGAAGCTTTTTATCTGCCGTCGCAGGTGCTTCCAGTGGAAGATGTCGAGGTGAATTTCTCACCGGCAGGCGGCAGCACTGACCAATTCACGGGTTGTAAGATATTGTTGGAATATTGTAGCCGAAGTTCATTAACTTTTAAGATAAAATATGTAATTCAAGATTTATTTTTTAGCATCAACCACTAGAATAGCAGATAGCGAACTCCGGATCTCTTTGCCGGCCATTATTCTTGTGTCTGTGGCCAGTGTCGGAGGTCCAGTCGCTTCACCTGTCGGAGTTACATGTTAGCATAACCTGTTCATTGCATAGTTAATTTTTACTGGCCTGTGCGTTCCTGTGGACTTAACTGGTGAATAATATGATATTCGTGGTTAATTTTAAAATGGCTATTACTCTGAAACTGGCGAATAATCTGATACTGTTGATTAATTTGATACTAGTGATTAAATATTAACTGGTGATTATCTGATATTCATTCGATGTAAGCATGCCAGTGTTTCCTGTTTGAATTTATTGTTCTGTGTTATTGTGCAGATTTTCTCAATAATCGCAACTTGCTGTTCCTTCTCTCATAAATCTGATGATGCAAACGCAGAATTAAATTATTTAATATCTTCATCCACTTGAAGCTCAGCATGCCGGGAGGTTGGGAATTATGCTGAATTGTTCTGAGCGAAGAGCTATCTAAGGAAGCCGCTACAGAGATCATATAGAAGCTGTTAATTTTTATGCATGCTAACGAAACATGAGCAATAAGGGGTTGTATGCTCTATTTTCATTTATACCATTTGACCAAGATTATTTTCTTCAACTCGTTCCTCTCAAAAACATTCTCGTTAGTAAGCAATTCTGTGCAGCGTCCGATGTCATGTTGGAGCGTAAGGCAGCTTTTTTATCTTGTCGTTAATAATCCGAGGAATTTTTTTTTCGTAGTCTTAAATGGTGTTTACTTAGTAAGTATAATAATTTCTATCACATAGTGTATTAAAAGACGGATATCGATGGCCAATGAAAATTACCTTCGATGACTTTCAAACCAAAATCTACCGACAATTCCGAGTAGGCAATAACAATACACAGATGATCATTGCAAGTACATCGTTTGCCTATTCAGCTTCACAACTTTACTGCAGCTAAACAACCGCTCGTTAGATGTTATTGACAGCCACTGCCTTGTGCCAGGCAGCGGTCAAGATAAAGTGACCGTGAAAAACTTCGAGTCTCTGACAAGCCGAAACTCGTGCAGAAAAGTATCAGCCATCTACAGGGAACGATGGCGTGGACTTTGCCATGCGTATTTTCCAGCCTATAATGACACTACGACCGCGCCGATCATAACTCAGCGTTGGACAAGAGTAGCAACAAGACGTGCAGCGATCATAATTATGCGTTGCTTCAGTAGACTGCATTTCCATTCAAATTACGATCATAACAAATGGCAGAAGCGAGGCACCGAGCCGAGAGCAGCACCTTACAAAAGTGTTTGATTCCTTATATTTTCGGTGCATTTTGGTCGATTTTTTTTGTATATATTATCATGGTGGGAGAAACTCACTTAGGCCTCAAAAAGTTTTGATGTAAAAAACTGGGACACGTGAACAGTTTCCGAATTTGACATCTATACCACTATCCGTCCTTCATAAT